CCCATCTTTCGAGGCTACCCAAATATTTCGCCCAGTGTAGCTCTTGTTTCGGCATCTATGGCAAACGCTCACTTTGCAGGCGCATTAGAATGGAACTGGTTGCAGCTGCCGTTGCTGCAGTTGCTGCTGCTGCTGCAGCATTTGGCATCGTTTGAATTGTGTCCTAACACTTGGCGCAACGCCTCCGTGGCATACAGCCTCCGTTAGGCGGCGTTAACGAGCTCGTGCTTGTGGCTGCCACAACAACGCACAAGAATTGCCATGAACCAATTTGATAATACACATACATACACACACACACATATATATAGATACAATACACACACATACTCGCACACATACGCACAACAATTATTTGCTGCCGTTTTTTTTCTTGTTTTTGTATTTTTTGAGGCTCGACATAAAATTGAAAGTTGCCTTCAACATTTTGTGGCGCATTTGAAAACTTGGCGAAGCGTGAACACAACTCAACAAAATACACATCAACAACAACAACAACAACAGCAGCAACAACAACAGAAGCTATAAAAAATAAATGGGTAAAAAACGGTAAATTATGCCATATAAGATAGCAAAGCCCCAAGCCCCCAAACGTACCCGTACCCCCATCCACACCCGATCGCCCCGTTTCCAACGAGCTCCCTAAACAAATGACCGTGAAATTGATGTCCTGTCGCTTTGCTGGCGTCAAAAGGCGTTACTGAAAGACAACTCAAGAGAAACACCAAAATATAGCAGAGCTGAGAATGAGCTCGACTTGCAAATACCCTATATGACATGAATATTAATTAGGTTTTCTATTGTCAACACTTTTATACGTTAGACCTTTTCTCTTACAATATGAAAACATTGAGAGATCATCAAAAATTTGTGGCTAATAAATGCCCTATAATATATTAGATTCTATATAGCCTTATTAAGGTTACTAAGATTACTAGAATACTAGGTTTATATAGATATAACGCTACCTAAAAGCTTTTACTCTAAAATTATATATCGTATATCAAATATGATTATGCTTTTCATTCATAGATACCCTATAATACATCAACACCCTTAGTACTGAAAAAGTTTCACATTTTACAATATATTTCAAGACTGAACACTAAAAAGTTGAGCATTCGTGTTTCACCAAAAATACTATATATGTAAATACTAAGAAATATATATAGATTTATATATGTCTACATATCTAGCTTACATAGGTTAAATATAATTTCTATGTATCTCACATAGCGCCCACATCAAAATTTCCATGATTTAACTCTTTCGAACCAGCAGTTCCTTTAGTCAGCTCTAACATATGGACAGTTATTTTTTCTCCCTCTATCCCTGTCTCTCTCTCTCTCTCTCACTCTTGTTTCTCTCTCTTTCTGAAGTCCAACAAACTGTTGATTACAGGGTATACATATACACATGTGCTTATATAAACAAACACTACGTCAGAGCCACGAATCACGGCATCAATTTCCTGTGTCTGTATTTTTGCGTGGGCGACTGTCTCTGTCTCCGTCTCTGTCTCTCTTCCTCCCTCTCTCTCTCTCACTCGCTGTCTGTGTGTGTGTGCAAAAAAGTGTTGGCAAAAATTTGTTGATAAGCATTTAATGTTTATCAGCTTGAAGCACACACAACCAACACTCTTTCACTCACTTACACACACACACACACACACACACACACACTTGACTTAACTTGATTGAGGGTCCTCCTTATTGCCAGTCTATTTACAAATTGGCATCTAAAAATAGACAAAACGCTTGCGTAGAACCCCGCCTGCATAGCGTCATTGCGCCAAATGCGCCAACAGCAAAAAAAAAAATGAAAGAAAGAAAATTGGAAAAACGAAATGCGAAAAACGAAGAGAAAAGACTAAAAAGAAAAGTATGCCAAGCAAACCGGTAAAGGCTTACAACGAATTGTAGTATACTCTTCGAGAGCTTAGAGAAACAAATAATAAATACCAAATATTTATATAAATACTACAAAATTTACAAAAATCATGTTGATTCCCATATCAATTCCAATTCACTGTAATACTTCTAGGCTTATAAGCCTCAAAATATTACCGCCAGCTTTTCCATCTTGTAAGACATAACTAGGCCTATAAGTCACTTAAGATACATATATTCAATTCAAACCTTTGCGTCTTATCAACAAGGTTTCACACCAAAAATTGATCAACCTTATACAAATAACATCTGCCTATAATATATAATATAAATTACCAATAAATCTTCAATCAATTTCCACTCAATGTAAATTTCAAATTTTATGCACAGTTAGTTCATTTCAGCTCGCAACATAAATTATATTATGTAATTTATGGTAAACATTTTAAGCTTCAATAAAAAAAGTCTTAGCTCTTTCCAGCTAATCACAAACATATTCAAATTAGCTTACATTGTAATACGTAGGGACCGAAAAATACAAAAAAAATTAAAAGAAATAATATGATTTGCATATATTGTATTAAAGCTAAAATATTCCCAAAAAAATTATCATCTCGTTGACTAATTTTATGCACAGGTAGTTAAAGTAAACCTGATTTTCTATCCATATATAGACTGGTTCCTAAAGGTCGCTAAACAAAATCATGTGATTGCCTGAAAAACGTGATCAAGTATTAAGAAAAAAAAGTTCATTAGTTGAGTCTTAGTCCCATTAGATGTTACAAAAGCTACTGGGTTTTTGATAGTAAAGAAAAAATTAAAAATTTTAGTAAACTTTACAAATTCCAAAAAATATTTCTTTGAAGAGAAAAAGTTTGAGTCTAACAATATCTAAAATAAAAATGGATTCATTTGGTTCGATTCCATTCGAAACCGTTTGGAAAAGTAGAAGCTATAAGGAAGAACAAAAGTTGATTTGATTTGGCATTAAGATTAGGTTACCATTCCTTAATATTAAGGAATAGGTTCAATAGGTTCCCTTAACTAACTTATAAATTGGAACCAGTTGAGCACAGTTCATTTAGCATTAATTTAGCTCCATACAGATGAGGCAGTTCGAAGGAGTTTGAACTAAATCAAATTAAACTACAAATTATTCCCCAAGTTCCACAACTGACTCATTGTAACCTTTATGAAGGGCAAATGAAGCTTATTCTTATTTTGCTCAGTAGATTTAATACGATTCCCATATGAATGCCATATTGAAACAGTTAGATATAGAGAATAAAACTGATATAGATATGTATATATTAAGTTCCGTTAGTTTAAGGACAAATCCCTTCTGTTTGGCCATGGAACTAGTGCGCGTAACAGCATTTACAATGCCTTGGGGGCGCTTTGGCACTCACTCAAAGTCACACGGACACATCCTCAAGGAGTCGTCAAGGCGCTGAGGGAGCTTAAGGCGCTGGAGCACTCACTCACTCATCGACGTATTGTTGACGCTGACATCGTTGACGCCAGTTCGTCAGCGTGGCAAAGCTCCAATGATGCTTGCCGTAATGAAAAATCAATGAGCCAGCAGCAACAAGCTCCAGTCGTGGCTCCAATGAAAAGAATAGAAAGAAAAGCCACAACAACAACAACAACAAAGGAGTAAAAGCCATTGGACAGCCGACAGGCGCCCACGCCCAACTCTCGTGAGCCTCGATGGATGAGGCCACAGCTGGAGAATCGCACTTGCGGTTTACGGGTTCACAATCCGGCCGTATGGGAAGATGGGGCTGGTGGGCAACAAATTGAAGCATTGGTAGTATGAGCTGCATATCGCATGTAGCATGCGGCGTGTGGCATGTACGACATGTGGCGACAGCTGGCGCCTGCTAAAGGCGTTTTGGGGCGTGGCGACTCAATGGCGACAGCAACACCACCGGAAACATGACATTCAATTAAGCGCAATTTAAGCGAAACTAGCTTAACTTATGAGTGGGTGAGATGGAGTAAGGCAGAATAGAGAAGGAGAGAAAAAACGAGAGAAAGAGGGAGTAGTAGATGACAGGGCAATAGGTGTAGGTGGATAGTCGCCATAAGGCAGTTGCCATGGCGAGGGAAAGGTATACAAACATCAAAAAGCGAAGTTATCTAATCGCAAAGAGCAAACGCAATAAATGCTAAGGATTAGAAATCAGCGATTACCGTTTGCACATATACTGTGCAGCCGGGTGACAGTGGGTGGTGTTCGGGTGGTTTGTTTTGTCGGTTGACGCCCACGCAAAATCTGGTACAGTGAAAAATTACGCATGCTGACGTCATTGTGAATGAGTCGCGAAGCTTCCAACATGCCGCAAACTGCGTCATTCATTCACCGAAAAAAGCAACAACAACAACAACACCAACAACAGCAACAACACCAACACCAATAACAGTAAAGTAATAAAAGCACACACACACACAATTGTCGTAGGTTTGCTCGCTGCACGAGGGTGGAACCCGCAAAAAGCGCGCCCGCTGTACGCTTGCCTGCATTTCATTCATAAAAATCTTTGTGCAAGGGAGAGAGGGAGAGTGTGTGAGTGAGCGAGTGAGCGAGCGCGCGTGGTAGAGAGCGAGTGCGCGTGCTGTCATGCGCGAGTCCTTTGTTGACCTTTGCCAATGCGCAAGCCTTGAGTGCGAATGCAATAGCAATAGCCGCTAAGTTTCATTCCTCTTTTTTTTTCGAGTGAAAGCTTAGCACAAGAACTGCGCAGTTATTGCGCTCAAATAGTGTGAGGTGCATTGAGAGAGAGAGAGAGTGAGTCTAAGAGAGGACGTCATTGAAAGAGACCATAACTGAGTGAGTGAGTGCATGGTGTATACGTGTGTGTATGTGTGTGTATGTGTGTGTATGTGTGTGTATGTGTGGTACAATGTCAAAGCCAAAGAGCAGAGTCAGTCGGTCAAATGACCTTTAAGGCAAACTATTTGACGCCAGTTGCGGTCAACTCGAGCAGAGGCAGAACCGCAACAGAAACAGCATCAGCATCTGCATCCAATCAAACCATATTGTTGCATGGCAATCACCTCGTAAACCGTTCAATTTTATGAGCCCCACACACACACACACAGCACACAGCCAAAGAAACCAAGCGCGCGTCAGCGGCTGTTATCGAGAGTTGACAAAGAGTCTTAACAGCGGTGGGCAGCGCAGGGGGGTAGGCACTGGCTGATGTGCTTGTGAAAAGGTAGGCAGAGCAGCTCACAAGCAGCTCGCATTTGATTTCAAGGTTGACTCGAAATGTCAAAATTGCAGATGCGACGCCAAATGCGAATCAAGTTTGCACCTTGGTTGAAAATAAAACAAAAGCAAACCAAACTAAACGAAACGAAATGAGAAGAGACGAAACGCTATGGTAGGCAACAAAAATACGCAACGAAACGAAACGAAATGAAATGAAACACAAAACGCGAGACTAAACAAGTTCCCAAAGAGCATTAGAACAACTGATAATGACAATAACGATAATGATAATGAAGATGATGATGATGTTGATGATGCGCAGCAATTGGTTTCTGGCTGGCATACCAAACCTTTTCGATTACTTGGGAGAGAAGGAGACGACAAACTGACAAACTCGTATTATAAATTTATTGTGTAATGACTGCAATGACTATCCAACAACAACAACAACAACTGTGACAATATATGAAGCAAGAATGTCTGAAAGTTGAGTAAAAAGTGAACTAAGCCGTAAATACCCTGTAGAATAAGATGTTTAAAATTTGCCCAAGAACATAATAAAAATAATGAAGAAGACAATAAGTTATAATAATATAGAATGTAATTCTAGTTACCCATTAAATTAATACAGTTCTTAATATAATAAATAATAAAAATTAAAAAAAATTAAAACATAATTCTAAATTATATTACGTAATTCATTAGTCGCTTTCAATATTTCACTCAATTAATCTCTCTGCTCTTTCTTAGGTCGATCATAGCCTATACCCGTATTATACTTCCCCACGGTGTCATGAGACAAGTATGTGACGCTAGCAACGGCTGCGGTTGCGACGGCGACGGAGACTGCGGCTGCGACTTCTCAATGCAATAAGCAAATCGTTTGCAAATGAACGAAAAGAAATACGGCAACAAAAACAAAAACAGCAGCCAAAAGCAAATACACAGACAATGTACCGTTGCTTTTCAGCAACAGCCACCACCACCAACAGCAAAGCTTTTGAGTATGACTTTCAAATGAAACGAAAACGAATACGAATACGAAAACAAAAACACGCGCATTGAAGAGCACAGCCTATGAGAACTGAAATTGGAATTCGAATTGGAATCAATGGACGATTTATGGTAATTTTATGGAAATCTTCTGTAAGCTCAGCTGCACTTTCTCAATTATAATCCAGTTAACCTGCTGCAAATTCTGTTGTATGAAACCTGTTGAATCGCAAGGGCGAGTGCAAGCGAGACGGAGAGAGGGAGAGCAGCAGAGGCAGAGCAGAAGAGTCAGAGCAGGAGAGGGAGGGAGGAGGAGCCAATGGTTTGTTTGAGCGTAGGGTAGGCTAGTAGGAGTTGCCCATGCGCTGCGCTCGTGGTCCACAAAAATAATAAAAGCAAGCGATTCGAATGGCATAAAATGCAGCTCAGTGTGCCAGTCAGTCAGTCAGTCAATGAGCGTGCGTGCGAGTGAGCGAGCGTGCGGGCGTGAGTGTGTACGAGTGAGTGAGTGAGGTAGCTGAACTAGTCGTCAGTCAGCTTTGCTAGTGGTTCTATGCAGCAGTCATAGCTGCTGCGGCTGCTGTTGCTGCTGCGGCTGCTGCTGTCTCAAAAAAGTGAATGTCCACCAAAAGTCCTTGAAACCTGAAACCGATCTTTCCAGTTTACAAGCTGAGTGCAGTCGCCGCTGCTGCGCTGCTACTGCTGCTGCAACTTGCCAGACAACGAACTCAAAACTTGGACTTGCCAAGATGCTGTTACGGCTGCTGCTGCTGCTGCTGCTGCTGCTGCAGGCAGTTGCTGCTGGCCCAGACCAATCCAATTCAACCTAAAACCCAATCCAATCGAATACAATTTGAGGCAACTGTAATCCTTCAGTGAGCACCTGAACAAATTACAAGTGCCACTACACTGCAAGAAATTACAACTGTTACATAATATATGACAAAGAAATGGTAAGAAATGAAGTAAAAGAAAAGAACATATAAAAAGGGCAGGAATGAAAGATCAATTAGGTTCTGACTTGAACAATTTTAGGCTATCAATGGGGCTATTCAATTTTATATAATAAAGTTAGTAAAGAAGAACTGAATTTGAGTAATATATTATTAGTTTATCCATATAAAATCAAACAAACTTTGTGGAACTAATGAAGAATTCAAAAATTCAAAAATCGATGGTACAACAAGTGTTTATATTATTAGAGATGTCATATAACCCATTCGTACATGTAGATGATATAGATAGTTCTAAGTAACTCTTGTGTATCTATGGCAAACTTATTCAATTTCATTTACATATTCACAATTTATATATTATAATAAAACTAGCTTCAATAATTGCACAGTGTACGCTTAGATACCTGTCAAGAATTTGGGTTGCGCTATTGGGTGCGGTTCAAGTTTGAAGCCAAATAAATTATATAAGAATAATATACATATATATATGTATATTCTATTTTTTTTTATACAAAATATCGTCTGGCCCAGTAACAAACAAAGAGCTTACAACCAACATCCTTTCCAACCGGATCTGAGAGTCAGAAATCTTTTGAAAAAAAAGGAGAATTCCACATTGATATAAAAACTCGACATAACAAACGCTCTAACCATCCAGTTAAGCGTAAAGCGATTACAAAATAACCGAAAAAAAGACATTTATAAATATATATATTTTTTTTATATATACATATTATAAGCCAAAGCGAAACAATTAACCGAACCGAGCGGATTGAGTAAAAATTTTGTATTTGTTTCTCTTGTCCACTTTTTTAACGAACGTTACAGATAAATCAAAGCTCCGTTGTATCTTTTATTTGTATTTTATTTTATTTTTTTCTTCTTTTTCTTTTGTTCTTTTTTTTTTTCTTATTTTTATTTGGATTGACATTGAAGCCATTTGGTTATTGGATTGTACTGCCGTTGTTGTTGTTTCATTTTGATGTATCTTTTTTATACAACGAAACGAAATGAAAATTGGTTTTTGAAACAAAACAAAAAAATGTATATTGGTTTTGCTGTAATGCAGGTAACAGCCACAGGAGGACGTGTGGTTGAACTCATAGAGTACATATTGGGATTCGGAATTTGATCTACTAGGTTAAATTTTTTTTTAACTAAAGTTTTAAGTATATTTTTTTTTAGTTTTGAAAAATGTTTTTTATTAAAAAAAAAAATAGTTTTTGAATAAATGTATTATAATTTCACATTGTTTAAAATAAAAAATTAAAAACTGTTTATTTTTAATATAATTTTTTTTTTTAATATTTTTTTTTTAATTAACGTATTTAAAACTAGTTTTTAAATAAATTTTTTAATTGTTATTATTTTAAAATTAAAAAATTAAAAATTTATACATATTTTAAAATAGAAAATGTATTGCCTTTAATAATTTTAAATGTAAAATATGTTTTTTTATTAAAGGTTCATTTTGGAGAGTTTGGGCATAAATCCAGGATTAAAATTTAAGTAACAAATATAGAATAGAATATAACTTACAGTTAGTGTACAACAAAAATAAATATATTTAAAAGGAATGCCGAAATATGTTCAAAATAAATTCAGGGTATTCACTAGTCAAGCATATCCGCATCTTGTTATTTTTTATAAGCTTTTTTATACGACCAAACCTACAAGTGTCTTGACTGTGGCTCTGACTGCGGCTGCGGCTGCGGCTGCGACTGCTGTGGCTGTGGCTGTGGCTTTGCCTTTCATTTCTTGCAATTGGCGTTTTAAGTTTTTTGCCTGCATAGCTGGCCGTATCTACATAAATAGATCTATATATGCAGGTAACTTTAATCAGCTTATAAATAATATAATCATTCATTATGAATATGAATACATTCGAAAACTGTAATCAATAATAAAGCACACTCAAGCGTAATGTGAATTCAGATCAAGGGAATTCAAGATAAACAAATTTATGTATATTATATATATATGTATGTATGTGTATCTACATATATCTAAATTTCAGACTAAGTAATTATAATTACTGATTAAGTTATTCAGATATTGTGTGCATATACATATATATGTAAATTTGATATCTTTAGCTCAGAGTAGTAAAGATCTTGCTCGACAGCGAAAGCTTTAGCCGATGAAAGTGCCGATATATCAGAGAGTCTTATCTTTATGTGCTTCCATTAGCCGCCCAAGCTCTCACTCTGAACCACTCTAGATTAAATTGCAGATCAAAATTAAGAGTTTTGCTTAACCGACAAACGTTTGGAAAGACATTAAAGAGCGATAATTGCATTCAATATTATATTTAATTTAGAACAGTTTTATGTATGCTATAATTGATCTATGTTGATTTATTTCTTATAGTTTTCTATAAGTTCTACCTTTTCTTTCTCCATCTCTCTCTTTTCACTCTTATTCTCTCATATTCTTATTCTATGTACATTATTTCATTCTTTCCCATAGACCTCCTTTATTATGGCTTTTCCATTTGATTCAAATTAGTTTATTTTGTCTTATCCATATCTTTGTTTTTAATATTTACCTTTCGAAAAGACAAACAAAAGCATTATAAAAGCCAATTAGAAGCCTGAAATACCTAAAAGCCAGGCACTTAACTTGGAAATACCCATAATCAAGTAAACCTTAATTACCTACGAATACTAAACAAAAACATGAAAATATTTGCTATAAGGCGTCTTCTACCTGTCTTACTCTTTACCACTTTATATATCTATATTTCTCTTTGTCCCTCATTTTGCGTGGTATTTCTTGGTGCTTTTGTAACCCTAGCCCAAATACCTCTATAAAAGAGACTTGATGAAACTATGTATAAATAATATGGCAAGTTTTTTTTTTTATTTGAAGAGCCAAAGGAATGAAAATAATTAATAACAAAGCACAATTAAAGACATATATACGTATATATACTTATGTATTTAGATTTATATGGTAAATATAAGTATATATAGATAAATATAACTGCTCAAGATTTGTGTTAATTGTCGAGCAGACGTTGACAAGTTCCAAGAAATGACCCAACTTAACGTAAACAAACAAAGATTGTCAAGGAATTTCAGACGAGTAGCCTATACTCTGACATCCAACATATCAAAGTTGTTGATATACTTAATGGAGCATGAATAACTTTTTAACGTAATCCTCTGGTTTGTCAAAATGCCATATTTTAATTCTTTAGCTCTATACTTTCGATTTTTATAAAAATATCAAGACTGATCTGATATTAAACCTTTTCCTGAGTTTTGTAATATTCTCATCTCTATAATCAAATAATATTTTATTATACCATATATATATGTATATGCTTATAATTATATACCAGATATGCAAAATGTACCCTATCTATTTCTATGTACTCCATATTAACTATGTATTGTCTATACCTCATATACGATATATACCATTTATACCTCCAACCACCCCAAACATACAACATGATCTAGCAAATAAGATCCTCTGGCCTAGAGTATTACTGCAAATAATGCTGACAGTTATTGCAGTATATATAAAAATACCATAAGATAGCAAATGTGTGTGTGTATGTGAGTGTGTAGAACGACCTTGCCGAAGGCAGTCTTCCGAACTCTTCCAACTCTTTTATATTTAATTCAGTCTTTTTCTGTTTTTTTTTTGCAGCTCTTTTTTAACGCTTCAGTC